TGGAAGCCCTGCACTGCTTTTACAAAGTCTCTTTTTCAAAAAATGTTACCGAGGTAACAAATAATTTTCATAATTAATATGTCATTACCGTAAAAGAGTTTGCCCTTTCTCTTTTGGTTATATAAACATCAGCTTTTACATGTGTCACTCATAGTCCTTACAATACTCGAATCCTCCCTCTCAATTTAAGTCCCCTAAATCTAGGAGAGGCAAAATGAATCTTTGTAGCATTCACATTGCAAGGGTTACATAAAAATGAGCAGAATTAACACTTTCCTTTTCCCCTTTTCCCAGTGCCCTAAGCAGGACCCCAGAACGCAGTTTGCTGCTCTCGGCATCTGCCTTCATTCCCTCTTCCCACATTTCTCGGAAAATTCGTTTTTAGAAGTACGAGATTACAAATAAATGTGTGATTTGATCTCTATCAGGCTGCAAAGGCATGCACTGAGCTCACAGCAGAGAAACTGCTATTTTTTCTACCTAAGCTGCAGTCGGCACCGCTAGCTGCAGTACTTGCAAGCTAGTGCTCTAGCTTGGTACTTCACAGACGAGGCAGCACAGTTCTTAGTACCATGGGCTAGCTTCTTGGTATAGGCTGGTATCTGTACATAGTGGTATTTATATTTCCATTATCTGTATACAGTGATATTTATATTTCCATTATTTGCAGTCTTTTCATGGCCCCTTAAATAATACCAAGCACGTTGGCTCAAAATGTTTGTGACTAAACTGACATTAATGGTATTATGCTAAATGCACATTCGAACAAGTTTCCTGCACTGACGCCCTGCCACATACCAGGTCCTCCTGTCACGATATGTCATCGTTAAGGCTGAGTGCAACGGCCTGTAGGAGAGGAAGGTGACTTAGCCCAAGCCGAGAAGAATCACTGGTGTCATCCTCACCACGGTCTTCATCACATCTGAGCAGCACGAGCCCCTTCGCTTTACACGTAAACACACCCAAGGTGCCCGTCAGCCGGAGCTGATCACTGCTGCTCAGTCCCTAGCAGCTGTGAGGCCAAGATATTAAGCAAAGAATTGTGGCTTGGCTGCGCTATACCTTTTTCCATTTATAATTTTTTTTGATGTTGTAATACATTGGGGGAAGGATTAGCAACTAATTTATGCATCATTTGTAGGCTGCTTTAGGTTAGCCCGGTAGGTTTCATTCTACTTGTTTATTCTCTCAGTAAAGTGTGACTACAGAGTTTAAAACCTCTTCTTGGGATGTATAAGACAGTCTAAATTTTGGAACAGCTGTTTGAATTAAACAGAAGAACTAAACAGAAGTTTCATCTGGAAAGAGCTCTTCTACTACATTAGCAGCTGTGAATGACACATTAAACTCGATGGAAGTAAATTTATTTTGTACTGGCTTTCTTTCCTCTCCCCACGCCTCACTTTTTCCCCAGAATCCATTTAGTAGCAATACTACCGGATCTTCCCTTGCTTAAGTAAGATCAAATAGGCTCACATTTCATTCAGATCAGCAGCAGTGAGGATTATGGCAGCAACATCAGAGCGCTGCCTCTCCTCTGGCACCGTGCTGCTGCCCTCTCAGCACGGCCTGAGGGCTGCGCCCTGGCCCAGGGGCTCTCTGTGCAGGGGAAGGTACCTACGCGCTGCAGTGGTGAAATGAATGTGATCCATTGCAGGTGACCTCAGGTTTGCCATGAGGTACTTTTGCAAAGCGGTGCTTGTATTTAGCACCTTTAGATTTGCCTTTATAGAGTTTCAGGTAATGTTTGGATGTTTGGCTTTTTTGTCTTTGTTTTCTTTTTTTTTTTCATGTTGCTTGCAAGGCTAATGGCAGTGGGGATTTTTTTATCACCCATTGTGACTCTGTGACCTTAGAAGTATTACATCAAAATATGTGAATTTTAAAAAAAGATACTAAGTTCTAATTACCAATAATTTCAAAATAGACAATAACAATTTGATAAGATGGAATAAAAGGAAAAGCTAAGATTTTAGAATTTTAGAAAAATTCTTACCAACATGGGATCTCTAGTAGACTGCTGGTAAATCACTACACCTTGATATGTGGTCCATATGACATGTCATCTTGATAATCTTGCAAGTCTAATGATAATTTCTTAAAAAATGCTCACCAGTTTTTGGGCAATAGAAATATCTCTCTGCCAGTGTGAAAGACCATTTTTTGGTGATAAACGTAAATTTATATATAAAAAAGAGGTGATAGTGTTGTTTTGTTCCTCAAATGTTTACTTGTAATTATGATGCATACTCTTTCATTTTCCTTCCTAAAGATCTATAAAGTTGTTTTAAGTCTTTTTTTTTTTTTTTTTATATTATTAGAAACTTTGATGCTGGAATGCCCCTTATTCTTAAGAGGTGTAAAAGTTGAAGAGATAGCTATTAAATGTCATCATATAAGCATCTTATGGGAAAAAAAAAAAAAGATAATGGAATTGTAGCATTGTACAATGAGTGCCTGAACCTGCTGCCTCTGGTATGCCGTGCAGCAGAATAAATGGCTTTCAGTCATGTAAACTAGCAGCAGACATTCAGATCCTTTGAACTCTAATAAGAAATGCACAGTTACTTTAAATAATAAGTGACCGAGCATAAAAATGTCTTGATTAAGTCGTCAGAAAAAGAGAAGGGAAGAAAAAAAAAAAAAAAGAAAAAAGAAAAGGGGTTTCTGTTTACGTTTTGTTATTTCTGTCTGAAATCTCTATTTTACTCTCCACTTCTTTGCTTTGTAGTGTTCCCTGCTGAGAAGGACAGACTGGAAACACAGTAGGGATCTTTGCCTTTTAAGTTGCTCTTTACTTTGCAGAGGGCTACATGCTGGAAGATCCAGTGTGTTTGTCCAGTGTTTTGCTCAGCATGAGGGAAACAGGACTATTTAAGAAAAGGCAGGAAACTATTATTTGGTAATTTTAGCTCCATTTCAATTGCAAGTACTGAAAGAGCAGACAGAAGTTTAAATATATGTTTTAAGGTACATGCATACAAATCAGTTCAGCTTTTGTGCTTTTGGTCTTTGATCAGGAAATTCTGAAACCATTTTGAATGAAGGTGCAAAAGGCTAATTCTGAGTTAAGCTTGCCACAACTGTGAATTCAATGGATCATGTTTATCCAGAGTGCTTTTCTAAAATTCTGTCTGTCTTTCTTAATAGCATGTATAACAACCACTGTGGTGGAATCAAACTAGCATGTTTTACAAGCAGAGCTAGATTTTTCTCCTATTGCAAACTCATGCCCCTTTGTCAAAGTCAAGGGATACATGTTTTGAATGCTAATTGTTTCTGCCAGATAATATAACTTCCATCCAGTACTTTTTCAGTGTTGCAACCTTTAAATGTTAGGATGATTTCTGTCCTTTGGGAATATTCTTCTTTATAAAGTTAATATATTGATATGGTGTTACACACAACCAGATGTTTTTTCTATCATATGGTAATATGATCTAGTGTTGATTAACCTAGTTCAACAACTTTTACTATAATCTCAAGTATTGCCACTGATTTTTTTTTTCTCAATTGCATAAAATTAATCAGATTAATAAGAGTTATGTGGCTGTAGCTATGTCATGGGTCCAGTTCAAAGGCTACTGAATCTTGGGGCACTCTTCATTGACTTTAGTGAGATTCAGATAAAGCTCTTCTTTGTGCTCTTTCTTCACAGTGAGGACAGCAGAAATAGCTACTCTAAATATCAGTGGCTTTGAATACTTTGCACTTCCATTCTGAGAAAACATACAAGCAAATATGAATATAACCAGTATAAATCCTCTCTCTATGAATTTGGAATGACTGTTTAACTGTCTTTAATACTCTTTGATACCCAATATTAAACTTTGTCCACAGTCCCTTCTCTGTACATACAAGTGATGACTTAAGAAAGTTAAATTGTCTGTGGTGGTTGGAAAACAGAACTTAAAAAGTAATGCCAATAGAGGGGAAAAAAAAAAAGGACAATTCTGTGTTTTAGAAGTTTCTAGAGGACTTCTACCTTCTGTTTTTGATGTTGAGAGTGTTTAAGAGCTTTCCTATAACTTCAATGCTGAAATGGACTCTTAATCATTTTATAGCTTTAGTGGTGTGTGATTCCCACTTCTTCCACATCCCCTAAAATTGTCAGTTTGGCCATTCTTAAGCTACCTTTTTTAGGTTGCATCCCTTTTCTTGCAAAGATTATTATAAGTGTATTTTATGGGTCTTTGCTTTAAGAACTGTGAGAGTAGCTGATAAAAATATTTTTAACCATTTTGGAATAAAGTATTATTCCTTCTTTCACAGGTTCACAGCATATAAAATAAAGTATGAAATGATCTGTATGCTTGTTTTATATTGTCTGCACATTAATTGTTCCTTGAAAAGCCTTAATAAGATCATATCATCCCAGCTGTCCTGCTTTGTGAAACTGCAGAAACCTATTGAGCAGCTTGTGCTATCTGCCCTTCTGCCTCTTTCTGCTTCTTCCTACCTGCATTTTCTATCCGACAGTTGTTAATGCCTTCCTTCTTTTTCCTGGGACTAGAGTTCACTGGTAGGCAGCATCTTTGATTCCTCAGAACTGGGAAGTGTAGCCAGCCTATGAACCATTAATGCCAGGTCAGCTGCTTAGGATAACAGAAACACATTAGTGGTTTTGGAGCAGAGCTTCTCCAACCTGATTTCACCTTAGAACTACTGCAGGTATCTAGCAGTTGCACACCATTGCACTGTACTCTTCCTCGGTTAAAAAAGCAGATGCCTGTTATGTTTCTGTGGCCCTCCATGTTAAAATATTCTGCTGCCAGCTGCAGAGGAATTTGTATGCTTGCATTCAGAAAATGTCACAAAATAATTAGTAGCATCAACTGAAGAAAAAGAAATTGTGGGCATAACAACTTGCTCTTGCCAACATAATAGAATGGGCCGTTTAGATATTCACAGAAATGTAAACTTCATAGACAGAGACAGAAGAAAAAGCAGAATACTTGTCCATGCAAATCAAAACCTAATTTTGTTTTGTTCTCCCTTAGCTTGTGGCCGTGGGTTCTACAAATCATCCTCACAAGATCTGCAGTGTTCCCGCTGCCCTACTCACAGCTTTTCTGACAAGGAAGGATCTTCAAGATGCGACTGTGAAGACAGCTATTTTAGAGCACCTTCTGATCCACCATATGTTGCATGCACAAGTGAGTCAATCATGAATTTAATAATAAAGGACATTGCTTAACCAGCCAGGTGTAGCCACTTGCATCTAGTTCTCACTTGTCGTTGCTACTGGTCTTTCCTATTGTTGAAAAGTATATTTACAACAATAGATAGGAATAGAAAGTTAGTGGGAGAAAAGATATCAGTACATATAGAATCAACATAAATACAATTCTCATGTTCTTTTGATATAACCTCAAGAAACCAGTACACATTGAGAGAATGGATTACTAGTCGTAACAGATAGAATACAGGCATAGTTTTCCTGAGACTTTGTAATTGTCACAGACCAAGTGCTTGATGCAATATAATACCAAAAGGAGTAATATGAAAAATGAAAAGTAACCTGTGAGGATACAAGCTTTGATTAAACTGTCAGTTGGATCTGTCTTAACATTCCAGCTGGAAATAGACTAACCTACACAGATTGGTGGCTCAAAAAATCAAAGTCCCCAAAATCCAAAGCTAAATACTTGTGTGAATCATATCAGAGCTGACTAGAGGCTTTTGGCACTATACATTTAAAAGAGAGGAACAAATTCCATACCAGGAAAACTATAAACAGCTACCTTTAAGGTACGGTAACTGATGCTTTTAATTGTGTAAAAGAGAAACGACTGAAGTCAGTTGCAGTAAATATACAGCCAATTGTTATCCCGATGTCTTAATGGAAAATAAATAAAACTCTTGCCAAGTGAGTTCAAGGACGCTTTTATGTAGCTTGTAGTAAAAATAATGAAATGTTTATGTGAAGAAAAATGCTTCAGCTATTTTCTGTCTCAGTAATTAAAATGCTAGCTAAATGTGCCACACTGATTCTGTGTATTTACACTGAGCTTTTCTGTGTCTTACAAAGGACCTCCATCTGCGCCACAGAACCTCATTTTCAATATCAACCAGACTACTGTAAGTTTGGAGTGGAGTCCTCCTGCTGACAATGGGGGAAGAAATGACGTGACCTACCGCATTTTGTGCAAGAGGTGCAGCTGGGAACAGGGTGAATGTGTTCCCTGTGGGAGTAACATTGGATATATGCCCCAGCAAACTGGATTAGTCGATAACTATGTCACAGTCATGGACCTGCTGGCTCATGCTAACTATACATTTGAAGTTGAAGCTGTAAATGGGGTTTCTGACTTGAGTCGTACCCAGAGGCTCTTTGCAGCTGTCAGTATTACCACGGGTCAAGCAGGTAAGTGTTCGTCACTTTTGAATCTCAACACTCTGGCACTTAGAGAAATTTGGAACATGTAAGCTGCAGATGCGGTGTAGCAGGAGCATGCTTGCAGTGTCTAGCTCATTAATCTTTTCACCTTGCCAACTTGTTAATTTGAATTTATACTATTTCATGACAACCTGTCCTATTTCTTGGCCTTACGAGTGCTTTCAGAAAACATTCGCAAAAGATATATGGCTTCATTATTAGATAGATTTTCTTAAGTCTCTGCAACAATTCTTCTGACATAATTGTAGGGCTGTTCGCTAGAAGTTGAAAAAAAATGTATGTGGTGGCAATCTTGTGCAAATGTTCCCTTTCTGAATATTTTAAGCTTCCATCAGAGTCCTAGGTCACTGGAAAATGATTTGGATAGCTGACTCCTTTCAGTGTTCATGTCTTCCCTCAGGATTATATTTGTAATTTATTGTATATTTTCAGGTATTTGATTATGGGATTCAGTGAGAGTGTGACAATTATTTTTTGTTTCTTATTCTTACCAGAATCTGACAGGTGAAATGTCAGGGAAAATAAAATCATCCTAGCATATCACCTCAGGGGGAAAAAGAGTTTCAGTTGTCTGTATGCTGTATGAATTCCCTGATTTGACATTCTGAAGTGGTAAGGTTCTTGTTGATAAAAGTCATGTGCCTCTGAATCTACAGTAGTTCACTTAGGGCTGTTGGCCTAAGAGAGGATACTAAACACTAACTTTTTATAGGGTGAACAAGAAGTCTTAACCATACATTAATTTCAAGACCTCATCTCCAAAGAAATGTCTTAGCGGAAAATGTGGAGTGGCTGTTGCTTGGTACAAGAACAGCTAAGCAATGTTTTAAAGGATATCTCATATCTGAGGGAACACTTTATTGATTGTGATCAAGATATCCTTTATAAATTCAGACGTAATTTTATGTGAAATCTTCTTCATTAATACTCTGAATTGAAATCAAAATCACTGTAGAGAGGCAATGAACAAGCAGGGAAAACTGTAGGTATTCTTCACTGTCATCTTGAAAAGAAAAGGACAATAAATTTGCTTTAAAGAGAGTCAAATAGCTGTTGAAGTTAGGCTATAGGAAGGTTATTTAACTTCACTGTAGTGCTTTCCTGGATACCAAATACACATTCCTGTTATTATTTTGTAACTGTCCTTGTGATTGAAAGGATTATTTGATCTCCATTCCTGCTCAGTTCTAGGAGTTTGTGCTGAGATTACAAGCACAGAGAACATACTCTGAAACTGTTTGCTCCACAGATTGTACTATTTTGGCATCTTTTTTTTTTTTCATCTTTAAAATACTTCTCTGTAGCTTTTCAAATGTCCAAAGGTGGACAGTGCTCTGCTCTCTATAGATGGCAGTATGGAAGTACCACATGCAGAAGAGATTTTTTTCTTTGCTTTTAGCTAATCAAGTAGGCTTTACTTTATGTGCTTTGGCAGTTTAGTGGCACACCAGGTAAATGAGGAGCCTGTGTAATTGAATGGTTAATATCACAATTCAGATAGATGAAAAAGGCTTACTCATAAATTTAGTGTATTACCTCCAAGATAATTCCTTGTAGCTAATTCTTTCATAGTCATAGATGTGTAGGGTTTCTTTCAGGCCAGATGACATAGTATGGTTATCCTGTGTTACTGTCTCAGTAACATGAGCTAAATGATTTTATGAGATGATTCTTTCATCAAACCCAGAGATGTTAGTGGAGTTATAGCTTGCATGTATGTTAGAAAAGACAGCCATATTTCACTTAATGTTTTCAAGGGATTGGGAAAACCTACCAAGATAAGACTTACACACGCAGCTGGGAAGCAGGATACCTGACTCCATCCTTCCAGGCTTTCCTCTGTGCTGTGGTATTATGGCAACACAAGCAAATGTTTCTCAGTGTCTGCAGAGTGTAAACGTGTTTTGAAAGAAAGGCTCCTCATACACTTGAGACTTTGCCTGATTAGCACTTCTGAGTACGAGGATTCAAATACTTCAACTGGGCATCTAAAAGGTTGTATGTGGGAAACAGGTTTTGAAAAAATTGGCTTTGTTTACTGCAGTTTCCTCTGTCTATAAAATGGAAGTAACAATTATCTTTCTTCGTAGATCACTTAAAGATTTTCTGATTAAAAATGTTATAAACATGCAGTACTTTTTTGCTTGGATTACAAAATCTGTGTTGAAGAAACTACAGTATTTAAGAGCAAATGCATTTACAAAAAGGAAAAGCCTTTTTTACATTATTTTGAAACAGCATGTTTTGGATCCTAATACTGATTTCTTTGGTTTCTCAAGGAGGAAAATATTTTAGGTGGAACAGATTGATGACTATAATTGAACAGAAAGAGACTGGTTGCTCAAAGGAGACTGTTATGCTTCTGTGCTCCTATTTTATTTTACCATGGAGAGAAGGAAAATGTTGAATTTATTTATAGCCAAGTAAACTAGGATTCATGCAGCTCTCATTTGTTACTATGTGACTGTTCTATACTTTTGGCAAAAATGGCTTTTTCTATGCTCATATTGCTTTTTATGTGTGTAAATGTGTCTAACTAAACCTTCTTCACATGTTATTATGCTAGCACAATAGGTGGCTCTATGTAATTACTAGGTTCACCAGTTGCACAGAAGCTTGCAGTGAGAGTTTCCCTTTATAGTTTTTGCTTAATTGAATTGATCCTTTGTGGTCATATTCACAAAATTCAAATCATTGTGTAATGATAACAGGAAATTATTGATAGAAAAATGGGAGTTAGAAATGTACTCAGTGTTTCTTCACCCACGTATAACAAGCTTCTGATGTGACAAAGAGAGCATGTCATAGAAAGAAACCAGGTGGCTGACATAAAGCTATTTATATTTGCAAAAAATAACCCAGCAAAATGACTACAAGTAGGTAGGCAGCATTTCACATTGCTCACATAGCTCAAATACATATATATGACACACCACTATTCATTCCTTGTGTTCAAAATTCTTTGTGACTAGCTTATCAATTATCATAGGACATATTTGTATGCTGCTGCCCAGAACCATTTTTTTTGTCTTTGTTTTGTTTTGTGACAAAAGCAGGAAAAGACTGAACCAGAATCAGAGGTAAAAGATAAAGTGTAATGAGTCTCTGAAGGAGAGAACCATTTTGTTACATATCTTGTCTATCCTGCATCATATCAAATGTACAGGATGACACCCCAGTGTGGCAAGTTGATCTGTGTGAACCCCTGCATCCTTGCAGAATTCAGATTTGAATCTTACTCAGCCCTTGTTACAATAGGTGACTGTATCAAAAAGATGCAGCTGGCAAACAGCTGACAAACAACCTTTGCAAGTTTATTGAATGGTTGTTTAGTGAAGATAAAATTCATGACTTCACTAATAGGATATTCACCTTTAGGCAATACTGGAAATTCTTTTTGATTCATCATATTTCTTTCTACATTTTTTTTTTCCTTACAACTCACAAAAGGCTAATTGAGTTGGTTCTGTGTCGCAATAGATGAATATTCACCAGATTTTGGCATCTGTGCACCTTTAAATCCTTCAAAAATATGTTTAATAATAATCCTATAATTTTTCTCTTGACTCTTTGTAAAAATCCATTATTGATAGTGCAATATTGCATCTTTATATATCCTTTCCTCTACAGCTTATCTGAGTGGACTGCTCTCCTATCTGGTGATATTTATCCAGCATAACTTAACTTTGGGAAAGCTTAAGTTGGATGAATCCATCTCTTTATCAGCATTTGAGGAAACTAAAGTGTCTATCCCGAGCCAGGTTAAATTGTCTTTGTAGTCACTGGAGAAGAAAAAGACATATCTAAGTGGATGTGACATTCATCACATCTTACTAACAGAACCAAAAACGAGAAATGGAAATAAGAATATAATGCTAATGCCTGCTCCTAGACATACTCTCTGTTCTTATGCAGGGAGCACCTCCTGATGCATCCCTCTTCCCAGTCATGAAAGGGCTCTCTCCAGCACAGTTATCTCTTTGCTGCCAATCAGATTCCATTCAGTGCTGGCAATCTGAAGTGGTTAAAAACTATAACGTAATTCTAAAATTAAGACTTGCAGTTAAAAATCCTTATTTTTTAATAATAATAATATACTTTTCTGCATTGCTTTTCTGCATTTGCAAATGGTTTACATTGCAAGAAGAAATGAATGAAAAGGAACACAGCCATCTCCTCTGTAAGGCTGATTCTGCTTTTCCCAGGTACCTCTGAAGCCTTTCTGAAGTGGCAAGATAATACTTTGCAGCCTCCACCTACTCCTTGCTCCCAATTATCATCACTCGTCTTTGAAAGTCTCTTCTTTCATAGACTCTGTGTTATTGACCATCTATTTGTTCCCTGTCAGTCTTACTCTAAGCTGCATTTTATTTATCAATAAGCTGTCCCCCAACGAAGGTAGAATCGAGAAGACACACAAGGCATGTTTGCCCTTGTGCTTTGACCAGCCCTTTGCAGATCTAGTTTCTTTCTGTTCCTTTTCCCAAACTGTTCTGGTGTCTTCCCATTCTGCCTCCAGGTTGTTTTTGTCTGCTTTCATCTACCCATTCCATGCAGCATTCACCTCTGGTGATGCATAATGGCATATTGCAGATAGCTGCAGTGCTCAGCTCTTTATGCTCATGTTTTCCCATTTCCCATTGACTTCCCTTGTGACTTCATGTTTCATTTGATTTCCTGCTGGTGACTGTGCTTTTTGTATTATGCCTCATCTTCTAGCGTTCAATTATAGATCAGCTGTCCTATGTGGTTGCACCATTCATATATATATTTCAAAAGAATGTTTAATTTTAAAAGAATTCTAATTACAAAAATCATAATTTTCTTTTCTTTTTGACCAAACATGTTCTACCTGTTGAGCTGGTAGAATTATTTTACATAAAAATTGCCTTTCAAAACCAGTATTTCTGAACCACTTGCATTAAGCTGTTGCTGATAGAAATATATGTTATGGTGATTGCACTTTG